GAAGGAGAACCCAGAACTGGGTTGCCCCAATCGTGGGTCGCAACAACAACGCCGTAATTGGGTTCTCCACCGTAGATTTCCGAGCCGATGGTGCCGCCTACGCCTGCTTCAGCTTGACCAACAACTCCACCACCACCTTGTCGTCCGTCATCGCCGCCATCACCCACTCGTGCTTCACCGCCATCATCATACCCACAAAAACCCAGTCCAGAAAACCCAGAAAATCCAGAAAACAGAGAATCACCCAGGTGGCGTAGCTTAAAGTAAGAGAACCCAGATCGAGTTCTTACTAAGCGAACCTGTGGGTTCTCACGGTGAGAACTCAAGTCTGGGTTCTCCCAAAAAAAAAAAAAAGGAAAAAGGAAAGCAAGGAGAGCAAGAAACGGGTGTTTGGAGTTTAACGGATTGAGTAACCGAAGATGAAGGTGTGTAACGGAGGGTGTCAACAGTGAGGGTAAATATATCACGGTCCTTAGTTCTCAGTTTTCAAACTCCTTAACCAATAACTAACCAAATTCTTTTTTAATCATAACCAAAAAAAAAAAAAAGTAACTAAAAACCAATTACATCTTACCATTAAGTTTTTTTTTTAAAAATTAATTTTCAGTTAACCAATCGGTTAACCGACTATTTGTCCCCACCCCCAACCCACGTGGACGACATGTTGTACGGAGTTGACTGCATAGGTTGAGTGTCACGTGCAGAGGTGGTGTTGTGGGACAATGATCTCCGTCCATCACCACATTGCGAATCGCATAAACCTCCACCGCATCGTGTCAGTTCTTCACGTGAATTTTCTCCCTCCGGAAAATGACATGGAAAACTCCCGCGATATCCTCACCCCGCCTAATTTCCCGACGTCTTGTCCTTTTGTTAGCGTGCCCCTTTTTAGGGCAAGAGGCACGGAATCCCGGTGCACCGGTGGCCCAAATTTCGGACACGAAATAATGAAACAGGCCATCGGGATTTTTCAAGGGGGGACAATGTACAACATCAATTGTCTTTTTTGGTTCCAATGAATGTAGGCAAATGTGGTAATGTCATTGTTGCTTTCTTTTTGTCTAGTAGACGGTGCATTTGGAGCCCCTTTTCTTTAAAAAATTAATAAAAATGTTTTTATGAAAAGAAAATAGATAACGTTTGTCCCAATTTTTTTTAATATTTTAAATAATAAATTATATAAAAAATAATCTTTGTTTTTGAAAATTTTTCTTCATTTATTTTAAAATTAAAATTAAAATTTTTTCATATAAAAATTTAAAAGGTATATTTAATTTATACTTTTAAAAGTAAATGTTAAAAATATATTAAATATATCTTTTTATTATAAATTTATATTAAAAAATTAATATTTAATTTATTAATTATTTACTTAAATTCATCAATTTAGCATTGCAACTAAAATTAATATCAATTTTTATAATTTTTTATATACATTTATAATTAAAAAATATTGTTAACTTGTGTTTTTTAAAAAATCAAAATTTAAAATTTTAATTATAGAAACATATCTTCGGTTAGCTAGTGTGTCCAATGAACAAAATAACAATAATTCATTATTATTTTTTTTTATAAGAGTAATGATTAGAAAATTAGTATGAATTAGTTGTTAGCAAACAGGATTTGATCTCCAGATTGGGTGAACATTCCACCCCCTCAAATGAAGCGCGCGGTCATCAGGCCGCTTTTTGATGGAGTTCACGATGGTGGTAGAATTCGAAACTCCGACCACCTCACCCAAACACTTAAGGTTTGGGATCGAACTATTGAGTTTAAAGGGCCGATTCAACAATAATTCATTAAGGTTTGCTTACAAGTTACCACTTTAATTAATTTATTAATGATTGGTTGTTTATATATTTCACCAATTTCCATTTCTTAT